ACGATAATATACTCTAACTAATAGTAACTATTAAACTACCTATTGTGAAAATGTATTCATAAAAATTTAACTACATTTAATGGTAAAAAATTTCTTTAACCGTTCAAACATTATCGGTAAGAGTTGCGGGTTATTATTACGCAGATCATAATTATGAGTTCGGTCTGGTAGAACGGATTTCGCTGTTGCACTTCAAGGGAGGTGTCGCCAAACTTGGTCTCGAAGTGATGTTAATTAATTTGTTACATACTTCTTCTCTTCTTGTGGTACTTTTCTGTAATGCTTCTTCATAAGATAAAGTGGGATACTCGATTTTTAAAGCTCTTTTTTGCACCGACTCTATAAGGTCTGATAATGTCTTTGGAAGAGCGGACCAAAATGGTGATGCTTATTCCAATTGAGATCTTGTAACTGTACAATAAATAAGTCCAGCTAAGCTAGGCGTAAAGCATAAATGCGTGAATTCGCCTTGTTTAAAATTTTGTCTTCGTTTATATCCCAAGAAAGATTGTTGGTCAACCACACAACTACTAGTTTAATTAAAACTAGAGACTATCTCCACCACCTTAGGGACCATTCATTATTTATGACCGGGGGTGGGCTGGCAAAAAAAGAGGGTGGGTCATGAGGTATTTTTGACTGAAAAAGGGGGGGGGGCACTTAAAAATATTAGTTCAGAAGGGGGGTCTAGTTATTTATTATAGTGGAGAAAAATTTGACATGTAACGATTATTGCTACCACAGGAAGCGAGCAAAGCAGCAAATTTAATTCATGTATATAGCTAGCAAAATTCTGAATTTTAATCAACAGATAGACCCAAAATGCAATGCAGAAATACCCAAAATGCAATGCGCGCAGATAATACGAAAAATAATCGAACATCTACCTTAAGTTTATAACTTTTGCCATGAATTTGCCATAAATTTTTGTCATATTCCAATTATGTACATTTTAATAAAAAAGATAATTAACGAGTAAGTGATGTAGCAACATTACGTGGGGGAAAGTTTGGCATATCATAGTTTATACTAGGTATTTTATACATGGTTTAATTTAGTAAGGAGTTTGTTGGTTTGCTGTGTCAAGTCCGAGTCAAGTCCAAGCCTGAGTTAAATGTTCGAGTCACTAGCTGTTTAGCGGTCTTTGTAGTTCATTGACGTAGTGCCCTGTACCCTAACCCTATTCCTAACCGAGGGCCGTAGCAACCGCTAATCATTTTTTTCCAAAATCATGCAGATCATTATTTTTTATTCTCATTCATGCTAATCATTCTTTTTCCAAAATCATGCAGAATCATTTAAATAATATACCTTTAAAATACTGACAATTAATTTTAAGCGGCTACATTACCCATGACAAACCGCAAAGAATGGAGATTATATTTCTCATACTTTCCTGCAACTTATCCAATATTGATATATAGTTAATTAAATACGCCTTCGCCCATTTAGTGCCACTAAATTGTAAATTTCGACATACTAAAATGCTGTTTTCTGACCATCAGAATTCTGTCAAATCTTCCCCAAAGTCCAGGAAATGGCATTTCAGAGACTCTAAATTTAAAAATTTCCTCGAGCCTTTGGCCCTCGAAGCTCTGCTAGGCATGTCCCAATTGTGCTCGGCAACTTTTGAGCAACTTTTTGCGTTTGGAGCAATTTTTTTCGGCTAAAGCAACTTCAAGCAACTACACTTTTAGTAACGAAAAATGGTATATGACCCCCAGCTTTAGCCTCTTCGGCGCTAAATCAAAAAATCTGACAATGTCTCTAGTTAACCCATTGCGCCCCAGTACATATTTTTTTACTTGTTTAACGCCAAACGATTTTACTCGTCAACAGGAAACTCTGCAGCTTAATGGGTTAAATAGGCATGCATACTAATTGTTGAAAGCACAAGTAAGGTCCTGTTTACACTATACCGGATTCGCTGGTCACGACATCTTCTTTTGCTGCTACGGAGCAATGGTTAGTAGCAAATGGTTATTAGTTTGACAGAATTGGCATGTTTATTTGGGTCTCTGAGATTAAAAATCTTCACAGCCTTTCGATACCTACAAAATTTGACCCACTCCGATAGCAATCCGGTATAGTGTAAACGGGGCCTAAATGAAAGAGCTGATGCCTTTTACCGAACAAGTTTATAAAGAGCGCATTTCTATACAGTACTGTACATTTATTATATTGTCGGGGGGGGGGGTTATTATTTTTTTAGAATTCATGTGAAGGGGGTCATTGAATTTTTTTGTGATGCAGGGGGTGGGTCAGGACATTTTGTTTAGTTATTAATTGAATTTTGCCAGCCCACCCCCAGTCATAAATAATGAATGGTCCCTTACCGCCTATAAAATGTCATTTTCTATTAGTTTATACTTAAGAAACGTAATAACCATATCTTTGCATATCTTTGAATTTAGTCTCATTCCTCGTTCGTTTGCATAATCAGATATTTGGTCAACGACAATTGGTAGAAAGCTAGTTGAACATCGTGGAACTATTTTCAAGGCGGTAGTATCATCCACAAATTAGACTCTCCGAGGCCAATCCTAAAGCAAAAAATTTACAAGGACTGCAAAAAGCAGCGGTCCTAGTTTTGTTCCTTGTGGTAGGCCACCGTTTGTTTTCTTCCACGACGAGTATGAGTTTTTAATTCGCATACACTGTTCATGGTTGCTAAGAAAAGCTTTGATCCTCCTCACTATGGCAGGATGTACACCGAGATTTTCCAGCTCGCATATTACGACATTATGAACAAAAAGATCGAACCCCTTTTTAAAGTCTGCAAAAAAAAATCTAGCAGAGCAGGAACCGTTTTCAAGGGCAGGCAAAATGATGTGCAGGAGGGATGTTAGAGCGTAAGTCGTAGATTTCCTTGGTAACACTAACTGCTTCGTGTCTAATTTACTCTCAATTTGGGCAAATTATTTTGTCAAGGTGAATCCCTCCATGACTTTAGAAATCTGAGACGTTAATGATATGGGTCTTAGATCGTCATCCACGCTTCGTGGTAGTGGAACTTTGTGGATTGGAACTACGATTGACCGTTCGAGGTTAATCGGAAACACACCCTGAATGATAGACGAATTGTAATTGTCCCTAATGACTGGCGCAAGTTCATATTTCAAAGACTTAAGTTCATATTTCAAAATTTTTTAGGTACAATATCTGGACCAGGGCTTTGATTAATTCTAATTTTGCCGCGTTCATTGTACACTTGATTAGCGTCGATGAGGTATTGACTTAGTAATTGAAATTCCCCGAGATTACGAAGCGAATAAGATTTTTAATGATTCAATTTAAGTAAACATTAAGGTGCAATAGTATACTCGTACAATTGTACGGCCGAGCGTGGAACGCGTCCCATTCCACGGATAGAAAAATGGGCCAATTTTAATTCCATATCAAGTGGGCATAATCAGCCCATTGAATGACCAGAATTTAATGAGTTGTTATATGAACCAAAATATTCAATCATATTTAAATATTAATTAAGAAGCCAGACATCTGGAGCAATGCTATTTCACTTCAGTAGTTTTGGCAAAAAAAGACACTCCTGGTGATTAGTGGACGTGTTAGTTTGTTACGACAGTCACGAATGATAGAGTTATGAGAACACAATCTTTCACAATAGTAATTAATGATTCATGTGTTAATCAGCCCTACTTGCGTGGTTTGGAGATAATCTGTTATGGCTACAGATACAAGTTATGTACTTCAGATCATTTTTCGTATGTACAGCTTACCTGGTAATAGTTTATCTTGGTTTCAGAATGATTTCAGTGAAATCAGTTAACGTCAGCTTTGTCCTTTAACAAACCTAGTATCTACATCCTGGGAGATCTCAACTGCAATGTCCTAGATACGAATGACCCGGGACAACGCTCTCTTTTAGATTTTTGCACTTGTTCAGTAAACCTGACACAGTTGGTCGATAAACCCACCAGAATTACTGAACATTCCCGTACATTGATTGACGTAATCCTTGCCTCTTCAAAGAATAACATCAAGCAAACGAAAGTCATCCCGAATTCAATAAGCGATCACGATGTGGTTATGTCAACTCTGACCTTGAAGAAATCTCATCCAAAGCCCTTCTATGTCTCTGTCAGAAGTTTCAAAAATTACAACAAAGAGGCCTTTTGTGGGGACATATCTAATGCTCCATGCATGGTTCGTCGTTAACAACTTTGACAATGTCAATGACAGTTTGAATGCTTTTGATGTGTTCTTTAAATTAATGGGATTCTTGATCAACATGCACCAGTCAGAAAAGTTAAAGTGAGAGTTCGTCCAAACACCTTCGTTACAGAAGAGATTCGAGAGCTGATGAGAACAAGAGATCACTGGAGATAAATAGCTCGGAAAACTGCTGCGTGGTCTACTTACAGGGAAAACAACGAGATGTTAAACGGAAATTACGTCAAGCACAAAGATGGTATGCAACGCCGTCGGGAGGGGGGGGGGGGAATACCCGGGGCCCGGAGTGTGCTCAGAGGGCCCCGGAAATATTGGTAAAATGTTCGTTTCATTTACCATCGCTTTATATTTGTCCTAAATGAAATACGCCTCTTGCACATTATCCACTGATCGTCGTGATCGATCGCAGAACGTACCAAATGTGAAATAAACGATTTTTTGATCGTTTTTTCTGAAAAAACACCTCTTACATCGCGTCTTTATCAGTTATGAGATGAAATGAGGTACGTATTTACCTGTATTGAACAAATTTATTACGTCCATCTGCTAGTACGGTAACATTCATGCACGCCACACGCGCCATCGGTACCGAAATTCTCCGGCGATTTCTTGCATGTAATTCGGTGGCGATTCCCTCGTTGATTGCGATTAAAAAATAGATTTTGGTGTGGCCATCAGAGTGAGAGTCTAGAGCGACAGGGGGTGGCCGTGTTCACCAATTTGTCCCGGGGCCCGTGGTTGCCTCTCGCCGGCCTTGATCGTATGTAGAGCAGGAAATAAAGAAGAACCCAAAGGACACAGGTAATATGTGGAAAGTAATTCCAACATGTATTCCCAAGAAAACTACTGGTAAGAAGTCCTTCAGTAATCATGATAAATCGGTGGCAAATAACTTTAACGAGTTTTTTACAGCTGTCGGTTCAATCACTGTCATGAAAATTAAATCACTTGCTAAAGAAAACAATTACACTCCCTCCCAATTGCCACCTGTCCCAACCAGTTACACAGAGTCGGATCAGTTTACCTTTCAACCTGTGGAATGTTCCTTAGTAGAATATATTGTGAAGTCAATGCCTGATAACAAGGCAACAGGAATAGATAAAGTACCTACTCGCGTTATCAAGGACTGTCTTCCCGTTATTGCACCATGGATTACCTCATCATAAACAACTCATTAGTCAACAATATTTTTCCAAGTACTTAGGCGGTGAAATTAAATATTTGAATTAGATTTTGCATGCTTGAAAGTTGAGGGATAAACTCTTTGTAAATTTCATTATCAGCTTTTGAACTTTGCAACGAATTTTCGAAGTTCGGAACGAAGTTTGGAACATTATAGTGAAAACTAATTAACATACATTTTCCAATTGTTCAAATCAATACATACATACATACATTTTCCAATTCACTCCCCGTCGGGGCTTTTTCTGTAGTCGATTACATCAAGTATTAACACTATTATTCTGGATTATTTATTAAAGGTGGCAAAGAGTTTGTCAAATATGAACAAACAACCCAGATCTTTTGAGATCTGAACTTAATGTTAAGGGATATATAGTTTTTAAGATTTTGAAAGCTTTTATCCGTGAAATTGCTCGTTGAACATGAATCTTCACACAGGCAATTTGGCGAGTTCCAGTTTCTTCGTCAATGGGCAAGTGGTCCTTTTCGCTTCGAAATGGCGGGATATTGAGAGAAACGCCCCGCGGCATATCACCTTCTAACACAAAGCTTTTATCAGCCATCGCGTATCCATTTCTTTCGAAGTTCTACTATTGCTTTTTCCATTTTGAAAATTGTAGAAGGAAAGCTCGGGACTCCGTTTGTTGTTGTTGTTGAAGCAACCAGGGACACAATAGGTGAAGCCGCCACTAGATTTTGATTTTTTCGACGTACAATTGGAATTCTCATAAATATTTTTACAGCTATTTAACATTCGTCCACCCGGGCAAGAGCTCTTAAAAGAACTGGGGCTTTCGTTTGCCAGCGTAGCGCCTAAAAGATCGCGAACAACTTCAGCACAAGTTAGCTCAACATTCTGTGTTGACTCCATGTTTTTGTAATTTATGGAATTTGACTACTAAGACCAGAATTCACCGCGCGCGTCAACCTTTATGGCGTCATAAGGCGTAAGGTCTATTGGGAAAGTAAAAGGATTGTTGATTAAATTACTCATAAGATCCCAAATGAAGCAGACACGACAGCGGACAGCCTCATCGGAGAATACTTTTTTACATACGGAAAGACGTGGAGAAAGAGTTCGGACGTTACGAAGAAGTTAAACATAATAGAGAAAGTTGATGGTCCAACCCCATGGTCGTAGATCGTAGTCGTGGTAAAAGACACGCACACATGTGTGAAGCTAACAGAGCGATTAAACGATAGAAACACTTAATGCTCACAACGGACGATTTTATCCCCGAGACAACGGCGCGGAGTGCCGTTCCTGGCGTAAGTCCTGAGCGACGGTTCTAAGTCCGCACGGCGATTTAGCCCGGGAGAAAGGAACGCATTAGCAAAGTCTAAAGTTCATCAATAATCATGGGCGCATGGCTTTGGTTCACAGTTCACCGTTCGTTGGTGGTCATCGACTCTGATCTCAAAAGTATAGTGGACTATCGTGAATAACGAACACTGATGGGAAAAATTTAAAATTTGCTTTATAATGACTACATGATGACAACTATACATGATGACTGCGAAATAACAGACAATACTTGCAAATATATTTAATTTTTGCAAGATTTTATAAATTTCAAAAGCTTTCAATTTAAGATTTTCAGTAATCAATTATTTATTACAACACTGAAGATAAGCCATGAAACCAAACCAAATGAAAAATAGCCGAAAGACGTGCTAAACGAAGAGAGGAAAGACTCCGACGTTTGCTACCAGAGACTGCAAAACATTATCCAGAAACCCGGAAAACAGTTTATTTGTTCATAACAAAGGTCTGACCTGCGGCAATAAATTGCTGGGAATCATAAAACCCAATGAAGGTGAGTTTGTTTTAAATATTCATGTATTGTTTGCTGTATAATTGCTTTAAAAATTTATTGTTGTATACAGGGTGTATAAAAAAAAACTGAACCCTTTCAAATTCAAATTAGCTATAACGTATTGTAGTAATTTGGCAGCTCTAATTTCTTTGAATTAATGGTTGGGTAAGAACACAAGGTCTTGTACTCATGGGACAAAACCTTTAAAACTTTTAAATTTTCTAATTTTTATTTCTTTGAGTTTCGTCCCATGAGTACAAGACCTTGTGTTCTTACCCAACCATTAATTCAAAGCAATTAGAGCTGTCAAATTACTACAATACGATATAGCTAATTTGAATTTGAAAGGGTTCAGTTTTTTTTATACACACTGTTTAGTTTCAAGAACATTTTAACACGAAGCGTTTGTGGCTGAATTGTACAATAATTTGAGGTTTACAATTATGTATAATAACAAGGGGGGGGGGGGTCGTTCTCGACCAATCAACGCATTTGTTGACATTTTCGCTCTACACCAATCAGAACACGTAATTGGTTACTACTTCCGGGAAAAACATACATTTGAACAGAAAATTTAGGGTCTTAAATAAAGCTTCGAGGGGGTCAGGATTCTTAATTTTTTTATTTGATTTAACGGAAAAATAAGATATTTTCTAAACATTTGGCGCTGTGATTTGCGTTTTATTGTCTAGTTTTAAAATTATCGGCATTCGAACAGAGGCGTTGCTAATTTTAGAACTGGGCAATCAAACGCAAATCCCAGCGCCGAGTTTTTAGAGAATTTCTTATTTTACCTTGTCACGTTGAATCCAATCAAAAGATAAATAATTCTGACCCCCTCGAAGTTTAATTTAAGACCCTAAATTTTCTGTTCAAATGTATATTTTAACCGGAAGTGGGTTATCTGTGTTCGCAGGGAAACTACCTACAGTAACCGATTACGCATTCTGATTGGCTTAGAGAGAAATTGTCAACAAATGCGCTGATTGGTCGAGAACGAAATTCCCCCTTGTATGTATAATAACATACCAAACATATATTTTTCGTGAAATTGATAAGTTTGTAATTAAAAGTGATATTTTTAGGGTTTGTTTCAATTTTAAAACAATTCTTAATAAAATTATTGTGTTACCATGACAACTACGTCAAATACTTCATTGTTCGGAAAATATAGTGGTTTTGCCAGCAAGGTAAGGGTTTGTGCATGTATGTATTTCTAGTTGCAGATCTAAATCGTGCTATCGTGTTTAGTAAGCTGGATCTCTCATTTGTATATCACCAATTTGAATTCTCCCAGGAAAGTCGCTACATCACCACTTTTTCTACCCACGTTGGGCTTAGAGGATATAAACATCTTCTGTTAGAAATCATCACAGCAGCTGAAATATTCCAGAATGCCATAAAAGAAGTATTTGCTGACCTGTCAGGATGCATAAATATATGAGATGATATGGAAGAAATCAAAGTAATATATGGAAGAAATCAGAAAGAAAATGATACCAATCTACGTGGAGCGCTCGAAAGACTAAAGCAATAACAAAATTTGTCTGAAAGAAGAAAAGTGTAGTTTCTCACAGACCGAGATCAAGTTTTATGGTCATATCTTCACTGCAAAGGAAATTAATCCTGATCCCAAGAAGATCGATGCCACAAAAACTATGAAATCCCCTCAGTGTATTCAAACAAAAAATTAACATATGTCATGATTTTAATTTTTTTAATACTCTTCAGTGGTGGCTTAAGCAATTTTTTGCACATAAAAGCAAAACAATATGGATAGCTACAGTAAATTATCAAAGAATTGCAAAGAATTTTAAATTTTTTTGAAATTTCACAAATAGTGAAAGGCAAAACGCCAACAAAAGAAAATTTAAAGCGTCATCGTATTTGCAAATTTATCGGCATCGTATTTCAAGCATCGTATTTGCGGCATCGTATTTGCAAATTTTAAACGCACAAAACTGCACCAAACTATTTCAAATCACTCGTAAAACCTACAATATGTTTAAATTTACTTGTGTTGTCTTTTATTCTTTATAAATGTCTTCATTTCTTTAATATTTTTGTAGTTGAATTAACAAAAGTTTTACAAAACTATTAAAGTTCATCTTGTTCGCTTATTGTTGCTATGCTACAGTACACAGGGAAGAACCAGAGGTGTGTCTTTTGTAAACAAAACCGTTTCCGGTTTACAAAAAATATTTAAAGATTTCAGAATGAATATAATAAAGTGGAAATTGAACTTCGTGTCGTGCAATTTTGGACTGAAATCAAACTTGTGATTACAAATCGCACTGCCGCTTCGCGGTCGTGCGATTTTGTAATCACGCGTTTGATTTCAGTCCAAATTGCACTCCACTGAGTTCAATTACCATTATTTATCTCTGATTATCCCAAGATTAAAACCCATTACGAAACCTGAACAAGAACGACTCGCCTGGAAATGAACCGACGAAGACCAGAGAGTCATATGCAGTTAAAATGAACAAGTTATTGCCGGAGACAAAGTGATGACGTACTTCGATCCAAGAAAAGAGACGGAAATCCCTGTTGACGCGAGCCCGGTCGGACATGGAGGTTGCTAATGCAAGAAGGACAAGTTATCTGCTACGGAAGCCGCAAGCCCAATCAAGATATTCCAAAACTGAGAGAGAAATGCTAGCCGGAGTTTGTCCCGCTGAACATTTTCAGCTTTACGTTTATGGCCCAAAGTTAAACAACATAACCGACCTTAAGCCTCTACGTGGTATTTTCAAGATCGACAAGACTACGTCAATCCGAATAGATTGATTCAAGTTGAGACTGATGACTTATGAAATTGAGCTGTATTAACGCTCTGGACAAAGTGAAGATTATTAAGCAGATTTTACCAATTGACATCCAAGCGTGTCAGCATTGGCGTAGCCAGCTCAACTATTCAGTCCCGTTATGCAAATATTGCCAGGTTTATAAACTACATACCAACACAATCAATTTCTATAGAAATGAATAATGATGATGAGTTGAAATTTGCATAGCGGGACCAAATCGTCGGGCTGGCTACGCCACTGCGTGTCAGAGTCCCAAATACCAAATCTAGGACAAACATATCAACTATGTGTGTATCAACGCAGTACCAAAAGCAATGACTTTTCAGGAAGTCGATATCGAAAGTCAGAAAGATCCAACGACGCAATCTCTCTTAAAAGCCGCAATCGAGAATGGGGATTGGTCAACTATGGTGGCCTAGGAATGCCACTAGAAATATCTGTTAACAATTGGATATTTTGCATGAAAAAAGTTTAAAATGAAAAAATATTAAATTAAAAAAATAAAATAAATATTAACTAAAATATTTTAAAAATATTATAAAGTTATTTTGAATTTTATCCTAATTTTTTTGTTTTTATTTCAAAGTGAAACAAAAAACCCAGTAGATATGGCCTATAAGTGCCATAATTTTTTTTGAAAAAAAAATTACCAGTGGCCTATGAGTGCCATAGACCATAATGCAATTCAGGCTTCAGAGAAAGAGAGTAAATAATAAATATGGCTGCCGGCCGTATCAGAAGTGGCGAATGGATGGGTGACCTCGAGCTCAAAGATGACTTAACCGATTATGTATAGCGAAACTGACGGAAAAAGGAGATATTAGACTTTATTCAGACAAAGTACCCCATGTACGCTTGGAGTGAGTGGACTTTGTCCCGCAGATTACAATATTTTGATATTAAATTCACTGATTACGAGGTAGATGTTGCTACTGTAGAAGAAGCAGTAAGGAGAGAATTAGAGGGCCCTGGACAACTTCTCGAATATCGTGCAATGCAACAATTCACGGGAGATTCACGGTCTCAGTGTACCTCGAGATCTCGTGTACGCAGTGATGGGGAATTTATGTCGTGAAGCAATAGAAGCCAGAGGGGGTGTAGGAAAGGCAAAACAACCCAAGAGGAATCGTTCTTTTGTCACAGCGGTATGTATTTTGTTAAAAAATGAAACGTGGAGTGAAGTCAGTATGAATTGCTAAATAAACTTTCTTGTTCTGAAAATCAATAGGGAGCAGACTGTACTATGTCTCTGGACGGCCATGATAAGCTCTGTGGCTCTCAGAATTCTACGTTTCCACTCTGTATATATGGTGGACAAGACACATACAGTGCTCGCATCAACTTTTTAAGAATTTGGACAACAAACAGCAATCCAAAAATTATTGGAAAATTTTACATGGACTATCTTTGTGAAAGAAGAGGTATAAAACCTTCCCTGGAATGTTTAAAACTGAATTTCATCGGAAGCTACGCATGTTTACAGCCATTGCTTTGGCCAGTCAATTACATCTTCTGCCAATAAACATGCTGTACTGCTTGGCTGCCCTGCCTACTATGCCAGTAAACTGCATATTTTGCATAAAAAATGAGGACGCGATTTGCTTAAATGCAACCAAGCTCGCGACCTGACAAGGCCGATAACGTGTTGTTTTTAGATTATAATGATTACTGGTTTAATTTGTGCTCGTGGCATAATTTGCATAGTGCTTCCCCTAATGTAAGAGTGGGCAGAGGGACAGAAACCACAATGCATTGCTTCCCACGAGAGAAGTTTGAAGGTCTTGATGATCCTACTGATTCTGTCATCTTTGGGCCATCTACCCCAAACAAGATTGAATGGTGGTGGCGCGAACTTCTTGAAATAATGAACAGGTTCTTCAAGAATAAATTATCATCACTGGTAGAAGATGGAAATTATTGTCCCGATGATGCAACCGACAGGTGATATGGAAATTTACTGTCTCTTTTTGCTAAATCTTGAGTAATTTTATGATTCCATTTTATGATCCTTTACAGCACTCTTTTACGGTGCATTGCATTTTTGAAAAGGTCTTATACTGTACTGAATTTGTTGAACAGTTAGAAGGCATATAACTGCAAATGTTATATCCATCTATAGTAACCTTTTGGCGTATATATATATATATATATATATATATATACACGCCGGGTCAGCAAGCAATGATTTTCGGCAGTTTGCATGTCATTAAAAATTGCGCGAATTTTCCGTGTTTTACCAAGGAGAATGGTAACGAATTAATTAGTCATCGTTTTTTCTTTCGCTGAGGCTCATGGTATTGTCTGGGTCGAAAGTGAACAGCAAATATGGAAAGGAGATGCTTCAAGGATCATTTTAATACCAAATAGTGGCCGTAAACCCACGAGGAAATAATAGAATATTTCGCCTTTTTGAGGACTAAAATGATCGATACTGCACAGTTTGTGAAATTCAACTAGTTTTCTCTCGGATAAAATTTGGCATCGTTTGTCAATCCTTGAAGAATTGTATTTGTAAAGCAACTTAAGACCTCTGGTGAGCATCGTATGATTTTTGTTTGTAAAATTTTGTCTCCGTTTGAGAGTAACAGGACCTGATACTTAGTTGTTTTCCTTGTGTTATTCATAAAGGATTCGCAGATGCACAGAAGTCGCATTTAAAAGATTTCTAAAGAAAATGCCTAATACCAAAGATAAACGTTTTAACATTGCAATGTATATGAAAGAAAGGAAAGAAGCAAGGTTTAAAGCTGTTCTAAATCATCGATCGCTAGCGTTGGAGCACAAGAAAAGCGAGAGAATTCAAGCCAAGGTATAGAAACCTAAGCAATGTATTTGTTATTCAGATATTAACATTCTATTTACTATCAGTAAATGTTTAACTTTGTTATTAATATAAACATTTACCTTTATGCAGATTGTAAAAGCAAAGGAAAAAACAGCTGCTTTGACATCTGATTTGGAAAACAATATGGTGAGTTTCTGCGACAAATCAAATCATGTGGTATAGTAGGATTAAACCCATTAAGCCGTAATATGTCTATATTTTGTTATTTTACTCTGTCTAATGCCAGATGATTTTACTCATCAAGGTGAAAATATTGGACATTAACCCATTATGCGCCAGCGCTCTCCCCTTGACGAGGAAAATCGTCTGGCGTTAAACAGAGTAAAATACTAAACTAAGGTGCATCAGGGTGCAATGCGACTCAATGGGTTAACTGGTAAATTACAGCAGCATATTTTGGTTCATCTATGCATTTTACAATTTACATTATAATATAGCATTTGTAAATTCTGAACGCTGATTGGCTAAGAGCCGTGTTGATATAACTCAATGTCAACACGGGAAATTTTCCGCCGCTTGTAAACACGGAATTTTTTCCTATCCTTCGGGCTTTTGACATTGCTATATTATAAAAAAATATAAAACATTTTTTCCGTGTTGATATATAGTTATATCAACACTCGTGGAAGTTGGGAAAACTCGAAATTGTATGGAAACACGATGCCTGAAGGGCGTGTCCCAATTCCACTCGTGTTGATATAAATGTATATCAACACGGAAAATGTTTTATATTTGTTAAATAACAGTCAACTATTTACATGCACAGGTAATATATACTGTAAATTTAAGTAATGATATAAAAGATTCTGGACTTTCATGCAAGAAATACCCCGTCAGATAAACAATTATGATTTTCGAACACTTTTTTCAGGTTTTTTACAATTTTATTATTTAACGACAATACCAGTACTGCTAATATATTGCCTGCCTGTGCAGTTCAACTATTTTGGCCTTGTTATTTTGGCTCGGCAACAATGGCTTCAATTACCTCTAGTATAATTTGTTCGTGATGGTAAGTGGGATTTGAGATGGGCCGTGACCATTTGATGATCCTAATTAATTTGTATTGTTAGCCCTGTAATTCTGAGACAAGGACAAGAAAAGCTACGACATTGGAGAATGGGGTATCAAATATGCCAGTTCGAACAGCAACAAAAAGGAGGCGGGAAACCATGACAGCGGTATCAGCAATCCATGGTGCATCCAAGAAGAATTTAAAGCCTGCTTATGATGGGATGTTCGACACCCTCCAGAAACGATGCAAGATGAAAGATTTAACAAATTATGTATTAGGTAATGAGAATTTAACTAAAACTGTAGTTTCTGAACATTACAAAAAAGAGTTGAAAGATTTTGAAAAATCAAAAGAAAATGCGGAAAGGAGTATTGCTACATTTTACTCCAGTGGTGTCATGGGCAAGAGAAAATATCAAAGTGTTAGGCTTGTGCTTTCAATGACATCAAGCGAACAAGGTGGGAGAACGGGCATATCAATTTTTCCAGGCTGCAAGGTACCCAAAATATTAACATATAATAACCTTGTAAGAGAGTTGAACAAAATTGATATTGGAAATGTTTTGGAAATCAATAACGAGTACCTCAGTGACTTAGAAATAGATGCACCCATCAATGGCGCATACAGAGATCTAAGAGAGTACTTGCCACGTTTAGCTAAGTTCTATTTGAGTACCGATAGAAAACATGCTTTAGAATGGTACGGTAAAACTGAGGGTACATTTTTAATAGCACTAGGAGGGGATGGTTGCCCATTTGGGAAACATGAAAGTGCCTGTTCATTTTTAGTTAGTTTCCTTAATGTTGGTCGAAAGGTAGCATCAAGTCATGATAACTTTTGCATTTTTGGGGCTAATTGTGACGAGACCTCTCAAGTTGTAAAAAAATATGTGAGGTCTCTAGTTCATCAGATTGCTGAGTTGGACAAAAAGATTTTCCAAATTGATGACTGGGTCACAATTACCTTTAAAGTGCAAGAACTTCCTAATGACATGAAGATGCTCGCCATGCTTGCAGGGGAACTTGTCATTAGTTCTAAGTACTTCTCCCCCTTTGCCAATGTTTGCAAAGATGATGCAACTGACTTGCAGGCATCTTTTGGTCCAGAACCAGGGCACAAATGGCAGCCATGGGAATATAAACAAAGGGTCAATGTTGTTGGAAAGGTGGAATCTTTTAAGAAAAAAATTGAGAAAAAACCATTATCTTGCAAAGTTAAACGGACTAAAGTCACAGAATTTATTGCCTCGCAAAAGAGCAGGCAAGAATTCCTGCCCCTTTTGGACAAATACATTGACCAGGCACATGTGGAGCCTTTGCACCTAAAAAATAATGCCTGGCAATATTTTTTTAAGGGTGTTTTGAAAGAGGCCATTCGAAAATCAAAACTCCCAGTAAGTTGTAAGACATTTTCTGAAGTACCCGAGGAAAGTGTTTTTGGCAGGCTTATTAGTTCACTGAAAATGCAGGTAAAAGCAGGATGCCTTTGCAAGAAGGTTAAGCGGTGGTTTGATGACACCCAGGGATCTGGGCCTGATTTGCAATACAGGTTCACAGGCAAGGAGTCTCGTAGGTTTTGTCACAATTATATGAGCTTAGTCAATGCACTAAGTGATGATAATGACACAAAAGCAGACAGACAGGCTATCCTTGTCTTTGCCTACTTAGGGCAGAGACTACGGGACAGTGTGTCTCTCATAAACAGATTTGACATTAAAGAAGAGCAACTCGCCCAGCTTACTCTTGCAGCACAAGAGTATTTGAGGGTGAATGCAATGTTTTTGTCAACATCTGTAAATCCTACTGTTTGGACATTGGGACATATTGTCCCTGTTCATGCCCAACAAGTGTTTTCACAGTACAATAAAGGCTTGGCTATAGTCACCATGGAAGGGCGGGAAGCCAAACATATTTTTCTTAAAAAATTAAGTCAAAATACAACTTATCAAAGGCGGTGGCTTGAAATATTTAAGCATGAATATATTATGTTAGTATGGTTACCAGAACATGGTTATGAGCTCCCAGGTAACAAAAGCCACAATGAAGCCTATATTCCACCTAGAATTTTTGAGAATCCATCATACTGCTACTGTGGTTTATTAAAAACTAACCCTAGTGATGCAAAATGTTCAATTTGTGGGGACCCATTGATGAGGCTTATTGAAAAAAGTGTCACTGAGGGAAAGATTGATTCTGGTTTGAAACTTTAATATTTAGAATTGAAACTGCAGCCTGGAGGATGAATGTTTGTTTTGGCAATGACAGTAGGCTTTTGCCAAAATTTTCAAACTGGCAGAAATGCCTAAGCAGCAGTAACAACCAGTTATGTGTTGTGGAGCTTGTTGATATATGTTTATGTCAAAGGTTTACATGCTATTTAAAAATACAGGTTATGGGTTTGTGCATTTTTATGCAAAAATATTTATAATATTTTATTATTGTAAATATACTTTTTAACATGAAAGTTTATTAAATATTTAATATATATTAGTATTGTTGTAATACAATCATTATAAGTGTTTTTTTTTACTATAAAACTTACAAGTTACTTTCCAAGAAATTGCAAGTGTTTTCATTTATCCACTGTCAACCAGATTTAGCCACTATAGAATTTGCAGATCCTCTTCATCTAATTACTAGCTAAAGCTGGTTAACTGTTGATATAACAGTATAATTTTAACGTCGTATTCGATAATATAAGTGAATTGGAATTTAACTACAGCAGTTTCACGAGATTCGCAACCCCTTGCGAAAAGTCTTGTTAGCAATAGTTGTTTTTGCCATTCAGGGACCAGAGACGGATTTTCATATTTTCGTTCGGGGGGATGGATAAATATCTGGGAGGGAGCTGCTGCTTGCTTTGGCCGGGTGTGGTGGCAACACCCGGAAAGGCCAAGGAAAAAGTATAACAAAATTTGTTTTCTAGGCCTGCATGGCGAGATCTGAGACCATAATATTGATAATTTTACAAATTTAGTAGTAAGAATAATCAAATATGAAACTATCAAATCAAAATATATATAATTTGCAGGGGTGCAAAAACTTTTGGGGACGGTGCCAAGGGACAGTCACTAATTTGACATCACTAAGCATTTGATTGGCTTCTTTTATTTCGAATCAACCAGGGGTTTTGTTTACAAACCGGCATATAATTAGTGACTGCACCTGAATGTCAAAAACAACTATATTGCTGCCAGGCCTTTTCCGCCAGGGGTAGCGAATCTCGCGAAACTGCTGTAACCATTAATGTGCAAGAACCTTCCCTAAAAGAGTAAAATACTGATTTAGAAATAAAATTGTCTGGCGTGAGACAGAGTGAAATATTAAGGTAAGGTGAATTGGAGTGCAATGCCCATTAATTGGTGCATGGGTTAAATTAACTAGTTAACTGCAATGTGCCCCAGTGAGCCTTACTTTGTTATTTTATTCTGTCTAACGCCAGATATTTTACTTGTTAAGGTAAGAGTATTGGACGTTAATGGATTAACCAGCTATCTGCCTGTACCTATTGTTAACCCATTAAGCTCCAATGCACCCTACTTTGTTATTTTGCTCTGTCTAATGCCAGACAATTTTACACATCAGGAGAAAGTATTGGCCGTTAATGGGTTAAAAACTAATTTTTCCAGTATTGCCAGAAAGGAATGTGAAACTGACTGTATGTGCTTGCATCAGTTTCTACAACATGTTACATTCCAACACATATGTGATATGATATAATACCAGCAGTACCAGCATAATCCAATCGCAATGCATAATCAACGGCTTAAACTTTAAAAATCACTGCATAGGCTGTTTATCTGTTCAACACAAAAAATATATCTACATTGTCACTGTACAACACAGTAGAGCATTCATCACTGTTGGGTGCTAAACTGGCCTAGCTGAAAACATAACCAAATTCATTCTCGAATGAGTAATGGCACTTGAAAATTATCTCACTTTTCCTTTTAATGTACTTGATCTGTAATGGCTTTTCTTCAGTTACCAGAACAGCAATTTTACCCTTAGATTTGCCTCTACAAGTCTTTGAAAAATAATAGGATGAAATCTCTGAACGAGCAACTCTTGAAAAGGTTTCAAAATCTCGCAACACACGACCAATATTAGTAAATGTAATAACAACTTCCTTTTCACTCTGCTGAAGCATAATGCCAAACGATGTGCTTGATTTCAATACGACTTCCTTCATTAGTGAAAACAAACTCCATGACAAGTACCTTGTAAGCTCAACCGTCCAAGCATTTCGAGCCTTCATCCTGGGTGATAAACGCCTACGAATGATTTTTAACCACTCGCATACTTCCTCAGCAATGAGTGAACCAGCAATAATAGTAGAGCTTAAGATTCGCTCTTGGATCACTCGATGTTTTTCCCATTTATCAAAGAGGGAAGTGAGTGATCGAGTTGACTCCTCCTCAAAAGCAACAAAATTTGCCGTTTGATTGCGTAGGGACCATAACTCTCGCACAGCAGAATCAATTGCTTCGGCCGGATTAGTTGTGATGACCTGTGCATCTTCATTATCTGATAAATCGGCCTCATCAGCCAATATATTTTGTAAAACTTCATCAGATGTAAAATATTTCTGCTCAGACTTTTCCGCCATCTTGAAAATTTTGGCAGTAGACCGCTGACATTTCGAAAACGAACAGTCGTCTCCTAAATGCTACTTGAGCTCTTCTGCTGACCCGGCGTGCTTTCTAAAACATGGGTTATTGAAAATATTGATCCCGTAGTCAACCAGTACATCCGTAAATGGCTTGAAATTCCAATCTCAGGAACACTAAGTACTGTTTTTCTAACTCGCAACAAATTTGGTCAAAGTATTTATCCTCCATCGGTGAAATTTATCCAATGCCAAACAGTTCTTCGAAAAGCTTTAAAACTTTCTCCAAATCAATCATTCAACGAACTGTGGAAATCTACTAATACTCATACTAATATCCAATACGACTTTTATAACTCAACCAAAGAAGTGCTTAAAGACTTTCGGTCTGAACATGAAGATAAACTCCAAAATCAATTAACTTGTCAGGGATCCTTTTTCTCTAGTGTAACAAAGTTCTCCTTGTCGCATCTTAGCAAAGTGTGGTCTACTGCTCAATCAAAACGTCCGAAAAACATTTATAACTTTACCATACGCTATATCAATAACTCTCTCCCGACACGCAAGCACCTTAGCAGATGGGGATTGTCTTCAAGTTCAGAATGCTCCTTTTGTCTTGGCCCAGAATCATTATTGCACGTGGTCGCTGGATGTCAGTGTTATCTCGATCGATTTACGTGGAGACACAATTCAATCCTGAACTTCCTTGCCAATACCTTGCAAACTGTGAACGGTTCTGCCCTCTACGCTGATGTGCCTGGATTCAAAAGTCCGTCAATAATAACTGGTGATACGTATCCCCCGGATTCGTTGCTATCGTTATCAAATGGCTCTCTTTATGTGGTCGAGCTCACTGTTGGTTATGAGACAAACCTCGAGAACAACGTTAATCGGAAAAAAGCCAAATATAAAGAACTAGTAAAACAACTAGACGAAAATTTTAACGAAGTAAACTTTATAAATCTTTCTATGAGCTCCCTAGGTATTTTTGCGCAAGAATGCTCTACATTCTTAGAAATGTTAGGAATTGTTGGTCTGGACAAAAACTACCAAACGTACTGTGTTAGGAAAATGATGACTATTGCCATTCGAAGTACATACTATATTTTTTGCTGCCGAAATAAGGAATGGGAAAGTCCGGACTTGTTAACTATTTGAAATATCTGATTGTCTTGTATATTTATATATTTTCATGTATTCTGTCTTATCATTTTTATTAGTTCATATAGTTGTGATTCAAATAGCCAATTGTAAGTTACCTTAAATTAGTGAGATTTACAATTGTATATATATAGTATATAACAAAATTATTAAAGTTTCCATTATTATTATTATTATTATTATTATTATTATTATTATTATTATTATTGTTTAAACGCGCTCTGTACATGTTGTTCGTTTTATCGCTATTTTCTTACTTGAACCACAGTTTATTAATAAAAAATATTATAACTATTGGATTTACTCGGATATAAATCATGATTCGTTCAAGCCTTGTTGCTATGTTGGCAATTTGCGCAGTTTGCTCGTTCTGTGGCAAAGACTTCGTTACGCTGGGCCGTCATTCATGGCGTTGTAAAGAAAAAATAAATCAAGATCGTCCTGCTAACACAGTCAATCAAAATATGCCGGTTATGCATTCTCCTGTCAGAATCTCAAACACCAACGACGTTGAGTGTTATTGTGGTAAATCATGTAAAGGTACGCGGGACTTAAAATGCACCAACGTAGTTGTCGTGTAATACATGGTTTAAATGATGAATTGCTTACAGACCTTGAACAGCAATCTACTGAGAACTCGACTACGAATACATCTACTCATTCTACATTTGAGGAAATTGATGTAATGGAAAATATTGCGAGCGATCAGAATTTTCCAGTGTTGAAGAAAGGGGTAAAGCTTCCCAAAAGCGACGCAGAATGGTCAACGGCTGACAGCTATTTCAAATTTGAATTGCGACTAAATGCGCCAATCAGAATTGAAGATCTAAGCTCAAGCATTACGCTAATGAATGATATTGTCTACAACTATTTCGCTGATAACTTCGGTTATGTTGAGAAGATGCCGGATAAAGAGCTAGTGAATAAGTATAAAGATCAAACAGTAAAAGCCTTAAAGAAATGTCTAAAACAACTAAAGCTATCGAACGCTGATCCTCACGAAATCAAATATGTAGCTCGCACATTGCGTGATAAGTTGCGTAATGCTTGTCAAATCAATACAACTCAAAACCAAAACAAAACGTTCAATCACGACAATTACATTAGTAGAAATTTCTGGGGTTACGTTAAGAACATCCTGAATAAGAATACTTGCCTACTTCCATGCTTTCCAATGTCAGAATGCCTAAACTATTTCAAGGAAACTCTATGTTCAATTAACCCAAACAAACTGTTTTGTATTCCAAGCTGGATTCCGAAGTTATCCGATCCTATCGTAAACTTTGACCTTCAACCCCCAACATATCGCCAAGTTACAAACATTATTCGCAGAATGAAAGCTTCTGGATCGCCTTGTCCTCTAGATCAACTTTCAATCATTTGCTTCAAACGTTGTCCATATTCTTGCGCACTTATCTAACCGAAGTGGTACGTAGCGTCTGGTCTTCGAAATCTGTACCAGCTAAATGGAAAAAAGCGTGCTCTATTCTTATACACAAAAAAGGCAATACAAGTGACCCCTCCAATTTCCGCCCAATTACTCTAGAAACTATACCACTAAAAGTGTTTACCTCTTGTCTCCGCAATGCTATGTTCTCGTTCCTAACTGCTAATAACTTTATTGAACAACAGATTAAAAAAGGTTTCACTCCCAATCTGTCTGGCACTCTGGAACACACTGCTCAAATGACAAATATTATCAACCAAGCGAGAATAAAGCAGCGCTCTGTTGTCATCACCCTTCTCGATCTCGAGAATGCTTTCGGTGAAGTGCATCATAATCTAATTCAATCTGTCCTCGACTCTCATCACATTCCCAAAGACGTTAGTGAAATAATAAAGAGCTTGTATACGGACTTCAATACTGCATTTATAACATCAGAATTCTCCACCCCATTTATAACTGTCGGTCGTGGAGTTCTTCAAGGAGACTGTCTTAGTCCTCTGATTTTTAATATGTGCATCAATACCTTTATTCAACATATAAAAACTGACAAATACCGGCAATTTGGTTTCATTACAAATCTTTTAAACCCAGTCCATTGGTTCCAGTTCGCTGATGATGCTGCGGTAATAAGCGGTCAAGATTCAGAAAATCAACATCTTTTAAATCGATTCTCGATCTGGTGCCAGTGGTCTAACATGATTGTCAGGGTTGATAAGTGTTCAACATTTGGGATCAGGAAAAGTCTGACAAAATCTATCCAATATTTACCTAAACTTCTGATTAACAATGAATTGAAACCTGCCACTAAAATTGGAGAGTCGTTTCGATACTTGGGGAAATATTTTGACTTCAGTATGTCCGAAAAAGAACACAAACAAGAGCTAATCACTCTCATGGACGACATTATGTCTGAAATTGATCTCAAACCTTTGCACCCAAAAATAAACTTTTGCTTTATAGTCGTTACCTCCTATCCAAACTTTCCTGGCATTTCACTGTAACCACCTTATCAAAAACCTTGGTCTCTGAAAATATGGATTCTGTGGTGAACAAGTACGTACGTAAATGGCTTGAAATACCTATATCAGGAACTCTATCTAACGTCTACCTTACCAGTAACAAGTTTGGTCTAAATATCTACCCGCCGTCAATTAAGTTTGTTCAGTGCCAAACAGTTGCTCGTAACGCCTTAAAGACCTCTCCAAATCATTCCATAAAAGACCTCTGGAAAACAACATCTGAAAGCAAAAACATCCAGTACGACGTCTACACCTCGACAAAGGAATTCCTTAAAACTTTTACCTCCGGACAAGAAGACAAACTGCAGAATCATCTGATTTTGCAAGGCTTTTTCTTCTCAAATGTCATTAAGTTTTCACTGTCGAAATTAAACGGCATATGGTCTAAATCCCAATCAAACCTCCCAAAGAACATTTATAACTTCACCATTCGTTACATTAATAACTCACTTCCAACTCGTAAAAACTTTACTAAATGGGGAATATTGTCCAACTCTGATTGCTCCTTCTGCTTAAACCCTGAAACCCTTTTACACGTAGTTGCTGGATGTCAAACGTACCTCCCACGATTTACATGGAGACATGATTCTGTTCTGAACTTCATAGCACAAACGCTACAACCTGTAAACAACTCCAATCTTTTCGTCGATCTTCCTGGTTATAAAAGCCCATCAATTGTAACTGGTGACACATTCCGCCCAGACCTACTTCTATCTATCAACTCGGATTGTCTCTATATCCTTGAACTTTCTGTTGGTTATGAGTCTAATCTACAAACAAATGTTGATCGGAAAAGAAGAAGATGCGAAGATCTCATTACACAGCAAAAGAAACAATTTAAGTCCGTAAAATTTGTAAATTTGTCAATTAGTTCTTTAGGCGTTTTCTCAAAAGAATGTCATTCCTTTTTAGATATGTTAACTGATCTAGGTCTTGATAAAAGACACCAATATTTCGCTATCAGGAAAATTATGTCTATCGCGATTAGGACAACATATTATATATTTTGTTGCAGAGATAAGGACTGGTTAAATCCGGAATTACTGAACATTTAAGGATACTCATTATTAATATATAAATATTAAGTATGTTCAAGTAGTCAATTATAAATTACCTAAATTAGTGAGATTTATAATTGTATATATACGTATATAATTTCAATAAAGTTTCATCATTATTATTATTATTATTATTATTATTATTATTATAAATATGTAACAATATGTATCGCCGAAGATTTTTGCTGACCAAGGAGAGTGCAGATCCAACAAACGGTAGATAGATAGATTTATTAAAACTTAAAAGACGCGCAGCCTAGGCCTTGGCCTTCGGCTGAATAATGTAAAGTTGTACAAGTAGTTAAAAGGTAAAGT